TTTTTTTTTTTTTTTTTTTTTTTTTTTTTTTTTTTTTTTTTTTTTTTTTTTTTTTTGGGTTTAGCGTTTATTGTTTAGTGTTTATTATTGATTAAATTATTATAAGGGTTTAGGGTTATAAGGGTTTAGGGTTTAGGGTTTGTGGTGTGTGTGTGTTTCAGGTCTTATCTATACTTGGGTTCTATACTGGGTGCTGCTTTGACTTACCTTTCTTTGGCTTCGCTTATAAATTTTATTTTTAGGTTTCAGCTGCTGAGCGATATTCTTCTATGGGGGGGCCTCTTCATGTACCTAGGGTACGCTAAACCCTAAACCCTAAACCCTAAACCCTAAACCCTAAACCCTAATTAAACTGTTGTGGTGTCTGTCGCACAGAGGAAAAGAAAAAGGGGTTATTAGGGTTTTCTCACGGTCTCGCTATCTCCCCCTAAACCCTAAACCCTAAACCCTAATCTGTATATTTTTTTTGTTTCATCTCGGTTTACTTTTTTCTAGGGAAGGGAATACAGTTGAGGGTTTAGGGTTTAGGGTTTATTAGGGTTTATGAGGGTTTAGGGTTTGTGGTTTGTGTTCAGGTTTGTGGTGTACGATACCCAGCTAGCTGTAGCTCAATACGATATGGGTGACCGCGACTACCTGCTGCATGCGCTGCATTTTTATGTTAATTTTATTTCTATCTTTTTGCGGCTTGTTGCTATTCTCTCGGAGAAACAAGAAGAAAACAACCGCAGAAAAAGAGACAGACGCGAGTAGATATGAAACACACCAGCACCAGCAGCAGCAGCAGCAGCAGCAGCAGCAGCAGCAGCAGCAGCAGTAGCAGCAGCAGCGGCTGCTGCAGTGGCTGCAGCAGCAGCAGCAGCAGCTGCTGCTGCTGCTGCTGCAGGAAAATATGAACAGCAAACCCTCTCCTCACGACGGGGGCTTGGATGGGGGGCGGTGGGGGGGCGTAAACCCCAAACCCTAAACCCTAAACCCTAAACCCTCGTATAAATATGGGGAGGAGAGGCAGAGAGCTTTTAATGAGCGAGAAAGTGAGAAAGCGCGAGAGAAATAATAAAAAAAAAAAAAACTTTTGTGTGTTGCTGCTGAGGTGTATAGGCAGCTCTAGCTGAGTGCGTTGTCGCCAGCATCCTGGGGTGTACGTACACCCCAACGTTTGCATTTTTTTTGGGGTTTTTCTGCTGAAACAAAAAAAACACAAAACCCTTTTTTGTTAACTTTTTTGAGGTGACAGACGAGAAAGGGTTTTCGCGAGGGTTTACGTCGACCCCGACAAACCCTAAACCCTAAACCCTAAACCCTTTTTGAGGGTTTCAGCAACTCTATACGTGTTCCATATCTATTCCTGGCTCCTCATACCCTCTCTGCTATCTTCTGCTGCTGCTGCAGCTGCTGCTGCTATCGCTGCAGCAGCAG